TTTCTGATAATGATAAGGGTGGGTATGCTGATGACATAAGTGTTCATAGCTGAATTAAGAATGATCTTAAAGAAAAAAAAAAGTCAACGTCTTCTACTGAGTATTCCAAGATATAGGACTCAAGATAAGTCTTTCCAGAACAGAAACTATGATTTTATTTATTGGTTTTATTTTATTTCATAGCAAAAAGATAAAACTTACTAAGACGGGAAGTTATGGAGAGCCATGATTGCCCAAGTCCTGAAGAAACATGGCATATAGAAGAAGTCTCTGCTACGTTAGATAGAAATGTAAATGTCAGTTGTATTTCTAATAAAATACAAATTAAATTCTTCATTAATTCAGGACAGAATTTCCCAAATCTATTTAAAGAAGTTTACTTTGTCTTGATCTGATAGAAGAACTATATTGGTCAACAAAATCTTTATATAATGCCATTTTATATAAGATTCAAACACCAAATCATTTCAAACACCATCAGGAGTATGACAAACAGGAAATTAGAGACCCAGTCTATTTAATGTCTTTCTAGATTATATTCTGCATGTACACAAGTCCAGATGATAAGAAATAGGCTTTAATAATTTAAACATTTGACGTCACATAACAAACAAATCATGATGATGAGAGATGTTATGCTGATGACATAGGTATTCATAGCGAGGATAAGAATGATCTTGTACAAACAATCAACATTCTTTATCAAGCGTTCAAAGAAATAGGACTTAAACCTTTCCAAAACAGAATCTATGATATGGAACTGGAATAAAACCTGTGATGGCAAATACACTGAATATAAATTTATTGTAGAAGAAAAGGAAATTGAACACAGAAAAGGCTCTGCTTGAATTGGTTTGTTATAAAACCAAAACATTAACCTGAAAACTCAAAACATATTCTTTAATAGCCTTGTCAGATCTCAACTCTTATGTAGATGTCATGCATTGTACCCAACTCATGTTATTGATGCCATATATGGTCCAGTGCTCTTGCTCTATATTCAGAGATTCTTGATAAAATCAGCAATATTATTGGTCCTGGCCTGGCATCTTGCCTTCAATTATTTTCCCACTGATGTAATGTAGCTTCCCTGTGACTTTTCTATACATAGTTTCATGGTAATTGATAGAGGAACTATATTGATCTACAGAATCTTTATATAATGCCATTTTATATAAGATTCAAACACCAAATCATTTCAAAACGTCATCAGGAGTATGTCAAACAGGAAATTAGAGACCCAGTCTATTTAATCTCTTTTCAGATTATATTCTGCATGCAAACAAGTCCAGATGATAAGAAATAGGATTTAATAATCTAAACATTTGACGTCACATAACAAACAAATCCAGATGATGACAGATGCAATGCTGATGACATAGATATTCTTAGTGAGGATAAGAATGATCTAGAACAAAAAAAATCAACATCCTTTACTGAGTACTCCAAGATATAGAACTCAAGATATGTCTTTCCAAAACAGAAACTATCATTTAAAATTGGAGAGAAAGCAGTGATGGCTCCTTACCAAAATCCATCATAAAAATACAGGATGTGGAATTAGTAAGTACTAAACACTTCAAATGCCTCTTTGTATGGATCTGTCATAACTAATTTAGTATCAGAGATAAGGAAATAGGTTGGCAAATCAAACAGTGTCAAAAGGACTGTTTCCATTGACACAACTGTTATTTTAACTACCTTTACTCGACAGTAATATTTATCATTTTAAAAAGTGATCTATCCATTCTATATAGATGCATGCACACTTTCTCTGTCTCCTACATAGACATATTCTCTCTATCTCTCTCACACACACCCTGACAAGCTTGTGCCAATGTACAGTGGAATGGGGGTAGCAAAGGGACAAAAACTAAGAGCCACATCAGATAGGAAATTGTGGAGAGCCATGATCACCTATGCCCTGAAGGGACATGACATGTAGAAGATATATATATGTTTGTGCATGTGTGGCATGAACTGGTTTAACACTTATAAGCAAAGCACCTTAAATTTTAAGTGAAGCAGATTATATTCACTTTGCGCTTAAGAACTGTGTTAAAAAAAGAAAAGACATAGACAGCAGAACTGAAACTATCTACCCATGTCGATTAAATAAAGGGTTCAGTTACAAATTTATTGAACATCATCTGAAAAAGGCCACAATAGCTGAAATGTTGTGATAACAGCAACAAAGATGAGGATGTCCAAATGTCAATAGAATTGAAGAACTTTTTTTAAAAATAAACCTGTAGTAAAATACAATGATGAAAAGAAAGTGGATGAGTAAGAGGTAGAGAAAAAGGAAGTAGGAATGAGAAAAGCATTTTCATTGGCAAATAAAAGTGAGGCAAAAAGTAGCCATTTTGAATATGATTGATAGAGGACAGGTTAATCTGACACAAAGACTATATATATATATATATATATGGTGTGAGATAACATTATCAGTGACAGGGGATTAACTTATGAGATGATGCCAGTGAATATTTTATCAGACTCTCCTTGATGGATTTTTAAATTTACTCCAAGAATCAAAATATACAAAATATATAAATATATATTTTGTATATTTTTGTTGATTCTTTGTAAGCTGTACAGAGAAAATTGTCTTATATTCTAGAATGATGGGTTTGCTAAGAGTTGTGTCAAAAAACTGATTTGGACATTTTATTGCATATTTGACCCATGATATCACAGGTAGGATTTATTAAACAGATCCTCTAAAACATTGATAGTGACACAGTAAATACCAATGGCATATCTATGTTTTACTAAAAAAAAACTATAAAAAATATTAAATTTACTTAAGTTAAAAAGTTAGACCTTCTTCACAGAAAAATTTATATTAGCCCAGCCTTGTTGAGTATAGATTTTACTCTAAGAAAGTAAGCCATTCACAGAGCTTGGATGAATAAAAATCACACTGTAGAGAAACCAGAGGTGATTATCTCCCTTTGACGAAGATGCAATCATATGGTCACTTAATGATGAAAGTAATCAGTCATTCAGCTTCTAGGAGTCAAACAAAGCAGTTATCTGTTTGGCCTGGGTTGAAACTACAAGCCTATGGTACAGTTTTCCCATGGAAATATATCTTTGTCAGATATACAAAATACTAGCAAGAGAGCCCGGCGTTGCCCGGGGATATAACAGTAAGAGATAGATCAAGTATCGACCATCATAAAGACTGAAAAATAAAATTGAAAAAGATTATTGTTGAAGGTTGACGGATTTGCATGTCTTAATTAGTTTTTTTTTTGTTTTGTTTTTTTACGAAATGGTCAAATCCAAACTCAAACAAAAACATTGTTTTCAATCGTTATGAGTCTACCGATTGAATAGAATTTTATTATAAACGATTGTCTTGTAAATGGAATTTTTAAAGCATTCTGAATGTAAAATAAAGAAAAAAAAGTGTGCAATTACATTAAGAAAAACTACCTGCCAAAAAAGTGAAGTTTTGTTGAAATCGGTTGAAAAATGTAGGAAATCCGATCCCATATATAAACGAACACACACACACACACACACACACACACACACACACACACACACACACACACAATCTGGGTTTTATAATAAGTATAACTCGATATGAGTTGTCCCCTTTCATTCTCGCGACAGCGATGCCTCCTTAATCATGTTTTCAAATTGATTTCATGCAAAAACAATTGTGTTTTTCCAATTTTTACACTATCAGAACCACCATAAGGTAATTTTACGTAGTCCTATGAAGTTTTGTTGAAATCGGTTGAAAAAATGTAGGAAATCCGATCCAATATATAAACGTACAGACACACACACACAACCTGGGTTTTATAATAAGTATGATCTCTGGCTTGCAGTTCTCATGATGGAAAAAACCCAAGACTTGTCATTTTCCATTTGCAGAATATGTCCTCGGTAGGGACATAGCAGATACATCTGGCCTGCTCTATTCTGGAATCCTAAATATGGCTTCTCCAGAAACACAGAAGAAACTCCATATTATATATAAAACCCTATCTTTTTGTTCATGTGCAAAAATGTGTATATAATTTTGTATAGAACTTGTGTGGTATAAAAATCTCTTTGATAACAAAATATATTTATCATTCTTTCCTTTCAGACATTCTGTTCCATCCATGAAATTAGTTGTTATTATATCACAAATATAATATTTTCCATAATGGAGGAAATACAAATGGGAAAATAAACCTTTCTTCCACAGAGTACCCATTATCTGGGTCAACCCAACTTAACATTATTTACCTTCATTAACTGATGATCACAATGCAATATACTATTAACTCCATCAACTTAATAATATTAGTACTTAACAGTAGAATTTGATAATTTAACTATCAAATCTTGCAGTTTTTGAATCAAAATTTGTTTCAGTAATTTGAAGCATCTATGTGCAATAAAAATTAGAAAGAAAGGTATTGTCAATGGTCGGAAATTAGGTCAAGCATTAACAACATTAATGGTGCCTTAAACAAGATTATGAGCCTTAGTTCAGGCATAGTTTTTAAATTACAGCATCATTATCATTAAAATCAAAATCAAAATTTTTTTTTCTGAAAACGATTTTTCATTGTAATTTGGATTTTGTTTAGGTGGATACAGATGAATATAACTCACTATAAAAATGTGTTTTTCTCATAATTTTATAAACATTTTGTCAGTACATTGAAAATATCTTACAAGTGTCTGACATGAAAATTAAAAGAAAAACTGCATTATTAAAATCATATATTAACTGATTCATTCAATCTTTGCAGGTTATTTAAAGCCAGAAAATTTATTTTTGTAGAATCTAAGAATTTTGTTTTTGAGATAATAATAATTTAGTGATAAAAGTCTTACTAATTAACCCAAAGCTGGGGGAGAAGAGGTTGATATATGCCTTTCTCAAGGGTATTTGCATATAAATGAATATAACAAACCCAATAAGAATTGGAACTTGGTTCTCCAATTAACACCATTACACCACTCACACATCCAAGCTTATAGGGCCTAGTATTCCTAAGCAGTCACCCATCTAGTTACTGACCAGGTGCAACATTGCTTAACTTCAGTGATCGTACAGGAACCAGTGTTTCAATATGATATGGGTGTAAACCTTGTATATTAAGATTTCAAGATGAACTATTTTCATTATTACTCATGAATGGGTGCTGGAAATTTTCTGATCAGAAGAAAAAATGACAAAATATAACATCTTTTTATTTTAAAATCAAGAATTTTTCAGCACCCTATTATATATATATATATATATATATATATATATATATATATATATAGTCATCCACATTTGTTTTTTTTCATTGTATCACAGCTCATCAGTGTGGCTAGACATCTACTTGCTTCAAGCCAGGATCAAAACTCAACGGATGTGCCATCAGTCAGGGATTCTACCACTAAGCTATCGGCAGAAAAAGGGAAATTTTAGTGTATTATATATGGGGATATACAAATGCCACTAGCCAGAGGGCTCAATTCATTAATGAAGCATGGTGCATAATTAGTGTGGCAACCACTGTTTAGAAATTATCCTTTCCGCTATTGTGCTCAACTAAATAACGAGATGAATAAAAAGACAAGAGGGAAAACTATTCTTAGCCAACACATTTCATCCTCTGAAGAACTTTATCAAGGCAAATGTAGGATTTATTTTGTTGCAAATGTTTTTTTTTTCGTTTTTTTTATGCGTTTCACCCCAAGCAAGGTGAGAAGCCACTGGGACGCAAGGGGTTACAAAAGATCAGATAGAAGAAAGGATGAGGAGAAGGGTAGTGGATAGATCAAGGCAACTGGAGATGTCGATTGACATTACATTTGAATAGCTGCAGATTATAGCTCTCAGCGAAACTGGAATAGGGAAGGGAGTTCCACAAGCGAGAGGTGCGAGACATGAAGCTATTGGAGTAGAAGAGACGGCTACATTTAGGAATTTCGACAGTGAAAGAGTGAGAGCAGGATGCCAGCCTCGTATGGCGCTGGAACTCTGGGAACCAGTGAATGCAGCTCCTCGTAGCAATTGCCATGAAAGTATTTGTAAAACAGACAGAGATAGGCGACAGCGTGTCTGTGAGAAAGTGACTGTAGACGAGATGCCAGAGCAGGGCCAATTATATTGCATATCTGCCTCTGGAGCCTATCAAGAACCCCAAGGCAAACAGAAGGGGCTCCAGACCATATATGGCAGCAATACTCCATAGCAAGGCTGTCATTGGTTTATCAAAGCTTTTAAATTTGAGAACATTCATGAATATTCATCAGGTGGTTGAAAGGTCAGTCAAAAAAAAGGGCACAAAATTTCATTATTCTTTTGTCTGTGAGTAATATTCAAGAAATATTTTTATTTTTATTTTTTAATAAATGAGGATTGTTTAAATTGTGATCAGATTATTATGGGTTGCAACGGACATATTCAAAAACATGACGTAATGGATTTAACTGTTTTCTTTTGATTTTTCATCATATTTGTGGTTGTGTATGTTGGCTTGGGAAAGTCGAAATTCTTTCAAGAAAAGTGAGATTGGAAAGAAACCGAGGTAAAGATTTTATATCTTGATAAGATTTGGTAGCGGCACTCTTGAGAATTTTCCTTTTGATAACTGATATTTTTAGAAGAAATATAGAAGAATATATATATATATATATATATATATCAATAAGAACACCGATTATATATCTTACCGTTCTTTCTTTTTATGTATATATATATATATAAAAGAAAGAACAGTAAGATATAAATCCGTGTTCTTATTGATATATATATATATATATATATATATATATATATATATATATATATATATAAAAAAAGAACAGTAAGATATATATCCAATGAAACACCTACAGTAAAAAGAAATTAATAAGAAAAGCTAGAATATGTAGGCCGTTAAATGACCCATGCCCTTTGTACATACATGAGAAACTATATATTACTAAGTTTATAAAAAATAAAAGTTTACTAGCTCAGAGAAATGAATTAGCTATTTTTTGCTGTCATTGTCAAAAATTTTCCTTAAATAATATTTAAAAATAAAATTAAAAAATAATCTGACCTGGTAATATATATACTTATACTTGATATGAAAAAATAATTTTATATACTGTAAGTAATTCTAGTACATTTACTTGTTTTAAAAGAAATATAGTCTATTAAAAATTAAAAGTAAAAATATTTTAAAATTGTAGTTAAATAAAATGTATTCTAACCTAAACATCCCCAAAAAATTTTTAAGTATACAAATAGAAAAAATGCTGTAAGAATTTTTTGCCATTAACAATAAAAGTTAAAAAAAAACCCAGATGACATGCATTTAACGGATGTCAGAATTCATTGAAAAATACATCACCACCCCTACCTAAACCTTTTTCGAATGTAACTAATAACTGATACAGCAAAAGTTAATAAAAAGAACACACTACCGCCCCTGTTTGAATGATTGGATCTCTCTGTATCCTTGGAAACAGTGAATTATGAATTTTTCCGTGCCTTTAAAACTCAGTAAATTTAAAAAATAAGTTACTCCAAAAATCGCTTGAGGATGAAATGGAACTAATGTTTTTAATTTAATTACAAAATTAAATTTGAAACTTTTAGCTTCCATTTTTGAAACATGGTCATTACTGTGTAGCGAAAAAAAACATATTTTAAACTAATTTATTATATATATATATATATATATATGTGTGTGTGTGTATCTATCTATCTATCTATCTATCTATCTATATATATATATATATATATATATATATTTATATATATATATAATTGTCTATTTAGGCAGCAATCCTTCATTTATACATGTTTCATTAAAGAAGACAAATAAAGTACTGCGACTAAGATTTTATCTAATTTTTCTTGTATTTGAACAAGTGTTTTCTTTTCTGAACACAGAGCGTGTAAAAACCATCCAAATATTCTGTAATTCCAAACGCTTTCGGCTATACTTTTAGCCATTATCAAGAATGATTTTATTTTTGCTTTTTTACTGGGGTATGAGGTATATATATGTTTCTAGAGATATAGGAATGTTTTATTTTCTGAACACAGTCAGTACATTGTGGCTGTGTTTGTACTTAATATTATTAAGTGTTGGGTTTTCTCTTTTTTATTATTAGGGTTTCCATTATTTTTAATCTTTTTTTACATGTGGATGAGGTTATTATGCTTGTATTTTCAACTAGTATGTTTCAGATGTAGTCTGGTAAGTTTGTGCGTGTGTGTTTAAATGAGTTCTGATGGAGCTGTGGGCAGATAGGTGTAATGTAAGGTGTCTGGATAGGCATGTAGTAGTGTGACCAATGTAATTATTTATGAATACAGTTTGATCAGGGACAGTTCTTTAAGGGGCATTTGAACTCATAAATAATGTTTGCTCATTGTAATTTTGTTAGTGTGCTGTTATTTTGTGTTGTTGTTGTGTTTTGTGTTGCTATTTTGGAGGATAATGCTAGCTATTTTAAATGTTTTGCAGTAGATAATTTGATTTTTTTGTTTGGTTCAATTGGGGTAGTGTATTTCTTTATGATATTTCTATTATTGAGTGTTATTTTTAGCTTTATTTTACATATAGACGATGCTATTACATTTGTGCTGTCAACAAGTATGTCATGAATAGAGTCTGGTATGTCTCCATATATATATATATATATATATATATATATATATATATATATATATATATAATAAAAAAATAATAATATAAATAGTTATACTCGTTTGGAAAAACCTTAGGTATTTTGGCTTGTAACTGAACAAACCAATACCCAAGGGAAAATAAGGGATAAAGAATTTCATTAAAGAAGAGGCGGGTTCAATAGCATCTGACATGTGTCAAAATGCTAATTTGGCGATTTCAGATAAGATTGCAAATTCTCATTGAAAGTGAGGTTTTGCTTTTTGAGAAATATTAGCTTATTGATTTAAAACATTTCCTTAAATCTCATGTTACTTTTCCTTGCTTGACTTAAACCTTGTAGGGTATTGTAAGTGTCGTGCGGTGATGGACTGGGTCTAAAAATATCCACAGCTAAAATGCTTATATTCACTTATGTACAAATACCCTTGTTAAAAGGATATGAATCCATCACCATCACTTCTCCTCCTCAACTATGGATTAAATAATAGGGCAGGATGTGTACTTTAGTTTTGATGGAGGAGAGTCTATGAGATTAACGCACACACACACATACGGTGTAAATAAAATAATTATCTTCTTATTAGCAAATCAAACACTAAGTAAAATATTTTTGTGTTCAATATATATATATATATATATATATATAATATAAATAGTTATACTCGTTTGAAAAAACCTTACATATTTTGGCTTGTAATTGAACAAACCAATGCCCAAGGGGAAATAAGGAATAAAAAAAAGAAAGAACTAAGACCATGAAATTGAGGCGAAAGCAATTGTCCAGAATTCAAGCTCAGAGCCCAAAGAAAAAAACCTCCAAAATGAGTAAAAAAAACAATATTTTATTAAATCTAAAATCTGAAATCCTGAGTAGGTGTAGACATAGGAAACACTGGTTATTAGAATAGTTTGTTTTTGTTTTTTTTTTTTTCCTCTATTGAATAAAAATGTAACACCCCCTCCCCCGTTGTTGAGTTACTGTTTTACTTGGTTGATTTTTTTTTTAGTCATGTGGTCATGGTTGTTTTTATATTGTAGGCTATATATATTGTTCCACCTTTACCTTGTTGGTTCGTTGATCCTGACGATCCTTATAGGTGAAACCTAGGTAGGTTTACCTGGCTCTTTAAGTTCACATTTAGGTTTGCTCTACTTTGTGCATTGAGCACTTTTTGTTTTACTCATTTTGGAGGTCTATATAGGATCTACCCAAAATGATTTTAAAACACAATACTATAACCACCTTAGTAGTTTTAATAATGAAACACACAAACATAGCCCCACTTTATCCACTTATGTATGGAAGGTCAAACAAGAGGATAATAAAGACGCCATTTTGAAATGGGAAATATTAAAAAAATGTCACAGGTATAAGCAGCTATTGCTATGTATAAAGAAACCAATAATTTATTAAATCTAAAATCTGAAATCCTGAGTAGGTGTAGACATAGGAAACGCTG